TTTGAGGTTGCAAAAGCCCACTCTGGGCAGTGTTTTTCTCTCTGACTGCTGTCTGTGAATCAGGATGTAAAGCTTCTACTCCATTGCCATGTATGTCTGCTTCCCACCATGATGATCATGGACTAGCCCTCTAAATCTGTAAGCAAGCCCCCAGTTAAATGCTTCTCTTTATGAGTTGCCTTAGTCATGATGTCTCTTCGCAGCAATAGAACAGCAACTAAGACATCAGAGATGACAAGATCTACAGACAAGTGGTGGTGACAATGGCATATCACTTTGACTACACCTATTGCTACAGAACAATTTAATTAGAAGGAATAAAATGTAATATGTATATATTCTACCACAGTAAAAGAACTTTTCCTAAAAGAAAAAAAGGAGGGATTTCAAGGATTTGTACTAATGGTGAAGAGACAGAAAGGAAGGTGTAGCTTTTGGAGATGTTTTGAAGGGACAGCCCGTAGCTTTTCTCACCAACTAGATGGAAGAGTTGAGAAAAAATGAGGAAAATGCAAAGAAGACATTTCTGATCAGTGAGTGTTGCTCCTAAGAATCAGCTTGCCTGGAACAGTAAATGACCAACATACAAACACAGTGGTTCCATTTACCCGGCTGTCAGGGATGGCCTGGCTTTGTGCTCCTCTGATTGCCCATAAGTAGAAGAGGGGCCAATTAGACCCAAGTCCTTAATGCATAAGATCTTTCTTAACTTTTACACCATGTATATAACTAATTATCAATAACATTTGAATTAGCAATGAGTTAAATACTGTGATCATTGCCAGGTAGCATTAATGTCTCATGGTTGTCATGACCTTACCTTGTGCTATGGTTTGCATGCACAATGTCCCCTACAGGCTCATAGAGTCTCCTGTTCTTTGTGGAACCTTTGGCAGATGAACCTCGACTGGGGGAAGTGGACATTAGAGGGGATAAAGTGGGGATTCTTAAGATTAAGAACCCAACCCTATCTCCTGCTCCATCTTTAAATATCCAAATGTGAGCAGACAGCTGACATAGCTGGGAACTATTCTGGTCTCCACGCCTTCTCCTTAAACAGAGAGCCCAAATCTGCTCTTCTTCCCTGAGGCTATTTCTTACCACATCTTTAGTAACAACTAGAAAGGTAACCAATACACCTTGTGTCTCCTTTATGTGGGAAGTGAGTTCTGATATAAAACATGTTCCATTTAGACCAAAGAAAAGCCTCACTGCTAACCTTTTCTCATGGTTTTCCTTAATGGGGTATATATATATATATATATATATCCTCCTACAGGAAAGTTTCTAGATGGGAGTATAAAGGAGAGAACACCCACCAAGGTCTGAGGTTCCCTGGGGCACTAACAGGCACTCCCAGAGCAAGAATATAAAAACAAAAAACCAAGTTTTAACATAGCCATTAAGTTATAGTCTAAAGCCCATTAGAATCCATTAGTGCTTTGTCAGCTACTACAAATTGGAACTATGTTTTTTGGGGTTGTTTTTGTTTTTTAACTCAAATTCTCAGGAGAAAAGATTATGCAGTTTAAAAATATGGCAGTGTTTTCTCAACGTTTTTAGTTGAAGTATTCAGTAAACTTTAAGTGTCAAATAACATTGAGAAGAGTTGAATTTTTTTGTATTTATAAAAGGAGATAGGAAATACAAAAATTGCTGATGTGTGTATGTTATTAACATTCTGCTGGCACAGGCCTCATCACTGAAGAAGTGGGTGTGGTGGAAATGTGGAAAAACCAGGAGAGGGAAAAAGAAGGAAAATTAGACTCAGAAGTCCACTTTGCATGCTTAGCTCTTTAAATATGATCCCATTTGACACTCAAAATTTCAAGAGGTTTGTGTTACAGCATCTTAACTTAGGCTCTGAGTGTTGGTTATCAATTACTGTATAGCAAATTATCACAAACTTGGTGCATTAAAACAATGTACATCTCCAAACTATAGTGTCTCCCTGTTGGGGCCTGGACAAGCCCACAGCTGCATTTGGGTAAAGTGGTCATCAAGGGACTAAGTAGGTGTGGAAGGTCCCCAGGGGCACAATTGGGGAAAGATTTTCCCAAGATCCCTCATAATTTGAAGAATTAATTTCACTGGGGCTTCAGGATTAGTCAGCCTTGCCTTAAGAAATATACAGTTAAATAGTCATTCCATTCTATGTAACCTCAGGGACTGCAACAAGCTAAGCTGAGGCAAGTAATAGATCCTGCTTGCCTCCTGTAGTGTAAGGCAAGATCACACTACAGCACTAATACAATAGAGGGACACAGAGGCTGTCCTATAGTGAGGGGGGTTGGTGGCATATTCCTGTAACCCTGCCCTTTAGCAGTTGTTTTCTGGAGGACTATGAGCTTGAAGCAAGCCTGGGCTACATAATGGACATTTTCCTAGCATTTTCAAGCTCCCTCTGTAAATCCAGCCTTGGAAATTCTAAGGCAGAGACAGGTGATCCCAAAAGCAATCTGGCCATCAAAACAAACCATGTCTTAATCTGGAGTTAAGAAACACACCTTCATTGAAAAAGCAGAAGAGAAATATGGTGGATGACTTCTGATGTCAAGCACAGGCCTCCACGTACCTCCCCTCTACACATGTTCACTTGAAAATGTAAAATATACTTCTGGGTTCTAGTTCGACTCAGTGTTTATGTATGGGTATTTGCTCCTATTTTCAACAGGCATTAGTTGAGGGCTCCATGGAGAAGTTAGTTGTTGATCTCACTCTCCAGGAAGGGCATTTATGATAGCCTGTCCACGGAAGCTGAGATTGTTAGTTGGGAGCAGTCTTGTAATTCTCTCGACCTTTCTTTGTGTTCAATTTTATCTTCAAACCAATATTGGCTCCCTCTTTTATGTTCTCTGTCTCTGCCTCTGTCTCTGTCTCTGTCTCTCTCTCTCTCTTTCTCTCTTTCCTATCTTCTATTCCTAACCAGGCTCAATCTTCCTGGTCCCACAGGTTTTCCTTTCCTCCCCCTCATTTTCTCCTACTTCTCTTTCCATTTGCTGTCCTCCCCCACTTCACCTGAGCTCTGGGGGACTTGTCCCTTCCCAGTTCTGTGAGGGACTTTATATGAATCTCTTAGAATACACCTTGTATCCTAGTTTGTCTGGTGATGTGAATTATAGGCTGGTGATCATTTGATCTAGGTCTAAAATCCATATATGAGTGAGTACATACTGTGTTCCTCTTTTTGTGACTGGGTTACCTCATTCAGGATGGTTTCTTCAAGTGCCATCCACTTGCCTGCGAATTTCAAGATACCATTATTTTTTTCTGCAGAGTAGTATTCCATTGTGTAGATGTGCCACATCTTCATTAACCATTCTTCAATTGAGGGGCATCTAGGTTGCTTCCAGGTTCTTGCTATTACAAATAGTGCTGCTATGAACATAGTTGAACAGATGTCTTTGTTGCATGGATGCGAATCCTTTGGGTATATGCCTAAGAGTGGGATTGCCGGGTCCTGTGGTAAACTAATTCCCATTTTCCTTACTGATCTCCAAAATGGCTGTATGAGTTTGCACTCCCACCAGCAGTGGATGAGTGTTCCACTTTCTCCACATCCTCTCCAACATAAGTCATCACTGGTGTTTCTAATTTTAGCCATTCTGGCAGGGGTAAGATGGTATCTCAAAGTTGTTTTGATTTGCATTTCCCTGATAGCTAAGGATGTGGAGCATTTTCTTTCAGCCTTTTTGATTTCCTCAATTGAGAATTCTTTCTTCAGTTCTGTACCCCATTTTTTAATAGGGTTATTTGGTGTTTTGTTGTCTAGTTTCTTGAGTTCTTTGTGTATTTTGGAGATGGAGAGGAAAAGACCACGCAGCAGAAGCACATAGAGACAGCTTACCTGAACAAGGAGGAGCTAACGGCCACTCGACTGATAGCTGGGAAGCCAGCATGGGACTGACTCAGGCCCCCCTGAATATGGGTCTCAGCCAGAAGGACTGAGCAGTCTAAGGGACCTCAGACAGTGGAGCCAGGATGTATCCCTGGTGCACAAAAGGACTTTGCGAACATATCCCCCATGGAGGGATAACTGCCTTAACCTAGAGACAGGAGAGAAGCCCTAGTCCCTACTTCACAGGACCTGTCAGATCTACATGACCCCAACTGGATGGCATTCCCCTACATATAGAATTGGGGTGGGGGATGGGAGGGGAGGGTGTTTAGAGTGCATGTGAGAGGGCAGAGAGGGTAAAAGGGAGGGAAGGAGGGAGGGAAGGCTGGGGGGAGGGAGGGAGGGAGAGAGGGAAAGGGAACTGGGATCGACATGTAAAACAATAAATTAAATTAAAAAAATGCTTTGACTCCAAAATTTAAGTTGAAGGACAAGTTACTGGGGAAAAGGATTTCTATTTTTGTTTCCACAGAAAATGAAAAGATGTGAATTCCTTCCAGACTAATGTGGTTTGATCACACCAAACCGCCTGAAACAAGAGTACAAGCTAATCCTACATTCAAAACAGCCGGACAAAACAGCCCTACAGACTACAGCCAGGATATCTGAAACTTCTTCGAATCCCCCATGACAGCGCCCCTTACCAGCAGGAAGTAGTTTGGAAAGAACGACGCCCAAATTCCCAAATATTGTGTATAAATGTTTGTTTTCATTTAATTGGACTTTGTTATATAAAATTAAATAAAAGAAAATGTAAAATATAACTAAAACCAAATAACATATACATAGTTATGAATACATGCTCCATACATATTCCTAGGTCTTCTTCCTCCAAAGGCTGTGCTGTTTGAATTATAACTATACTGCTGAATATCTAGATTATTTAACTCCTCCAGGTTTTCATCTCTTCATTTAGGACACTAGCAGCTCCATCCAACTCACCCTCATCATCCATCCCTCAGGGTAGCAAGCACAGATGGCAGGGATGGTTGAGATCCCTGCGATGCACCTTTTCCCATGGGGAATGGGAGTGGTAGACCCTCGGGATCCTCACACTAGGGACTTATCATCAATATTAATGTTCTGTATTGTTCTTCTGCAGTGTCATCTATGGCCTTGTGATCCGAACTATTTGGATTAAAAGCAAAGCCCATGAGACAGTGATTTCTAACTGCTCAGGTAAGGTCCTGATTCTCTCAACTCTCCTGCAGAACTTCTCCTCTAGTAGTACAAGCTGGGACTACCTGGATCTACAAATTTGCTTGGTTGTAGCAGGACACAACAACAGAGCTCCCTGTACCAAATCTTCCTAGAGAGCCCTGTCTTCCATTTGGCCTCTCTGAAAACTAGGGGAAGAGGCTGGCAAGATGGTTGAGAATGTAGAGGCACTGTTCCCAAGCTTGAGGACCTGAGTGCAACACCCAGAATTCACATGGTAGAAAGAGAATAAATATATAAATAAAATGCAAAAAAATAAAACCAAACAAGCATGGGAGTAGGTAGAGGGCACTTTGTGCTTGTTCAACTGTACAAGAACAGTCCCTTGAAGCAGGCTTTGAAGCACACACACACACACACACACACACACACACACACACACACACACCATCTACACTCAGACAAGGACCACATAGTACTGTACAAAACTTTGAAAGAACTTGGTTTCTGCTCTAGAACTGTCACTGTGAGCTATGTCGCCTTACAAAGTCACGTGACTTTCCTGGGGTCCTGTGAGCTAAATGAGTAGCTACGTTATATTCTTTCTAATCTTTGTTTGGATTTCAGCACTGTAAGTCTGCACCAGCCATAGATGGAGCTTGGTTTATCATTTTGGAAGTTTCTTTCCCCATGTGATATGAGACATACAAGAGGATCCACAAGGTTTATTGGGTGTGAGCATATGTGTCTCTTTCTCTAGAGATTTAGATTGGTATGTGAATCTCCATCTTACAACAGGGGTGTTCGTGTTCTGCTGTGTTCTCTCTCCTGCATGCTGGAGGCAGTATAGGGCAATGGGCACAAATCTCAGGCCCATGTCCCAGTGACACAAATGGGACAAATGGAGAAACAGAGAATCTTCTGTTGGCCACTGGGCATCCTTTCCATTTGTTACCACTCTAATCACTGCCCAACTTTCCAGGGTGGTAGTTTGCAGATAAAAGACAGGCTTGAAAGCAAGTGTCTTGTAACTTCTATATGTAGCACATGGTGACATGACCAGGACTCAAGGGCATAGGACTGATGAGACTACCCACATTTTCCCCTTAAGCCAGTCCACCACTCACGAGGAATGAAACTATAGCAAGAGATGGATAAATAACTTTTCAAAAAGCTCAAATTAACCCATCCCCACAAAAAAAAACATATTTATTAATAAACCAAACTCTAGGTCTTTAGCCCAGAATGTCATCCACACCACTCCAATGGAGCCGCCTCGCTGGTCTATTTCTAAATCATCTGTTCTCTATTTGAAGGTTCAGAGTCTGGTTTGGTTAAGGTACCTAGGGTCCTGTTGTTCTTCCAGGTTTCAATCCTCTGTCCTGTGATTTCTGCCCATTGCAGAAGGCTGGTCTTCTCTTCCCTGCCTATCCTCCTGAGCTCTCACCCTCCCTTCCTCCCCCCAACAGCTCTTCTACTGCCCACACTTCTCACCCAGTGAGCTATGGTGACACTTACCTCATTTTCCATGAGTTCACCAGTTAGAAAGAGGAGCAAGACACACATAGCCAGATATCTGCGGTGATCTTCAGCAGGCCTCCCCATCACTGTGGGCTAGCTCCTTTCTCTGTAGAGTCCCTTATATCTCACCTCTCTTGTATTTTTTTAATCACAACATTAGACTTTCCCAACCTCCAAGACTAAATCTATGCAAAGCCACTTAGAGATGTGCATCTATTAATAGTCACACCATTGCCTTGTCCTAAATTACAAATGGCTATTGTCAGTTTTCACTACTTAGTATAATTTTGAGTCTCCATTACACCTGTGTTTCGCTTGTCACTACCTGTGACCTCCGTCCAAAATGAGTCTAGCTGCCATCCCCAGAGTATTTTATCCTGTCTGCATTTTACTCATCAATGGACTTTCCTCAACATCCCATGTGACAGAACAGCCAACCCTCTCAGGAGCTGGCATGTAATGGGGTCTCCAGAGAAGCTGACATGCCAGGGTTATTGCTCATCAACAAGGTACATTGGCTAAGACTAGTGAGAACAGAAGCTCACTTTGTAAACACTGTCAAGCCCAAGTCACCCTGAGTGTGGAGCCTTTCTTCTTGCAAGTGTGTTTACTGTTTCCACCAAAAGGCTGACTCAATAAAAAAAGAAAAGGAACTGTTTTATAAATGACCCAAAGGCTTTCCCACAAGCAGATGTCATAGACCACAAACATTATCTCTCACAAGGCAGCATGTGTTTGAAGTCTAGGAGGAGCTATATCTTAGGTAAGGGCATTTACTGCAAAGGATAGGAGGCTGGGAAGGTAAAGCCATGAAAATGACAAATGAGAACTGGGTCTCACCATCATGGCTTTGCTGGAGTGATGTGGTCAATACTCTATCAAGCTGCATGTTTCAAGTTTTATGAGGCAGAGTGAGGTAGAGGAAAACAAGCATCCGGCCAGGAAGTAGGTTAAAGTTCTGCTTCATGGCTTGACAGCTTTACCTTGAGCCCATGAAGTGCTCTCAACACCAGCTTCTTCAGTAGCTGAGGATAAACTGCCCTTTTACCCATTTCTAACAAAATGCTTGAGAGAAAAAAATACAAAGAGATGAGAAAATTAATACTGTGGAAATTTCTATCTATCGAGGAGATTCCATAGCATTAATATGCTGGCTTGACTTGGCCGATCTGTAAACTAATACAATTTCTATCAAAGAAGAATTAAAACATTTTATTGAGTCTGGTAGATATTTTTAAGACAGATAGAAAAGTTCAAGAGCCAAGAAAATCCAACAAAGTAGATATGTTTTTTTTTTCCTGTGCCAAACATAAGTGTATTACAAAGTCAGAGCTGCTAGAAGAATATCATTGACATAAAATAGATAACAGTAGGAAATAATGTGGCCCCAAACAAATCTATACATACATAAGGATTTGACATAGGTCAGAAGATCACTGGGAAAGAAATCAAAACCTTCAATCAATAGACAAACATAACTCCAGAGAAATGGGTCTTATATGTAAAAATATTTTTGTTCACTTTTAATCAAAAGTTAGATAATATCTTTATGATGCTGGAAAAGATTTTTAAGACAAGACATGCTACATTAAATTGCAAGTGAAATGCATTCGTTTGACAGTGTCAGCATTGTAAAATCCAATCTGCACATTCTAGGAGTGGCCCAGAAAAAGCTGAACACAGAGAATGTATGGAGAACGCCTAAAGATCAATTTTAAAGGGGGTTTTAAAGACAATCACATGTCAAAACTCAGCAAAACATGAAGAGACATTTGTCAGAAAGGAAAGCCAGACTCACAGCTCCATCAATAATTAGGGAAGTGTGGGTTTAATTCTCAAGTAGACACAACTGTCCACTCACAGAATTGGCCAAATTAGAAATGATCTGATAAATCTAACGACTGGCTTGTACAAGAATCTTATGGTTTTCTGTTTGCTTGGCAGTAACATTCCTCACACTTGCATCGTGTTGCTGGTTTGTTTGCTTCTAGTCTGTCTCACAGGCTGGTAACCATGGCCAATTTCCCAAAGCCCAGATCTAAACCTTGCTTTTCTTCCCTTCCTAGTCTCTACCCCTCCACTCAGTGGAGACCATCCTGAGGCCTCTGAAGCAACAAGTGGGAAGCCATGCCCTTGGTCTGAGCTTTGCCTCAATGACAAATCTTCAAAGGGTATTTTCTGGTTAAAATGTCTCAGTGTTAATAGCTTCATTTGGAAGATGGGCTATTCTTGATTGGATCTGCACATTTAGAAAGGGCACCCAGCTGATTCAAGGTTGCTTTGTATTTTCACTACAGAATAGGCCAAACAAGAAATATGTCCAGTGTAGGCCAGAAGCAGTTGGTATTTACAGCTCTCCAAAAGAAATTTGAAGACTTTCTCTAACTCCTTTATTGTCCTTGTTAAGTCAACCAACTCCAATCGAAGCTCATTTCTTTTTCTATAGTTCCTTCCTGAACATGGCTAGTAACAAATCAATACAGTAACAATCAAACTAATACACTATTAGCACTCAGTATACCACCCTCATCTCCTGGGCTCTGACAGAGTGGACTCACAGATCTCCTGGCCAGGCTCAACATGTGGCTTCATCCAGCAAACAGATCACCAGCATCCCAGCTTCGTGACACTGGCTGCCTGCCTGCTCAGACTTGTGTTTTTTGTTTCTGTTAAGACAGCATTACATGTACAGTATCAATGTCTGCTAGGGGAAGGGAAACTCTAGCAGCTATATAAACTCTAAAGCATGAGTACCCTTAACAAAACTGAAGGATTTAAATATTTGTTAATTTTTATTTTATGTGAATGAGTACTTCCCCACATGTTTGTTATGCACTGTGAACATGCTTGGTACCCAGGAAGGTTGGAAGAGGGCATGAATCCCTTGGAACTGGAGATTTTTGCTAAACTGGAGGGCAAAGTACAAAAACAACTAACCTGTGAATTTGTTGACACTTATTCAGACACTGCTATTACCTCCTGTTAGCACTGAGATAAGAGATAGATAGATAGATAGATAGATAGATAGATAGATAGATAGATAGATAGGTAGATAGATAGATGATAGATAGATAGACAGACAGACAGACAGACAGACAGACAGACAGACAGATAGATAGATAGATAGATAGATAGATAGAAGTAAACTTTGAAAAGGCATCAGATAGGCAAGCTAATGGGTTGAGCAGGCACACCCCAATACTAGAAAGGGACAGGGGGTTCTCCCACTGCTTTATGGTCAAGGAGCTATGTAAGTTTGGGGTCAAATGGAATATTCTGGCACAATTACACTCCTTACTTGTAGTGACAGGGATTGGGGAACTGGATGTGAATCTCAAAATGCCAAAAGAAGTCCTGGAAGATTTGCCAGCTCTGCTCAGGCTCCTGCTGAGACAGCACAGAGAGTAAAGCCATTGCTCCAGTCCCAGTAGCAGAAGGTTGAGAACAGGTAGCCCCAGGTCAGTCAGTGATGCTGACCCATCTTCAACCAAGGAACTGACTGATTGAAGACCGAGAGTCTTCAAGCAGAGAGCAGAGCAGCTGCACATGGACAAGAGCATCTTCAGAGAGTTCACAGAGGTGGTTCTAAAGGGGCTGCAGCTGTTGCACAGATGTTGCCCAAGCCAGGGCTTCCATATGGGTGGCTGGCAGTGGGGGTATGGGGGTGGCAAGGGTTTCCCTGAGCAGCAGCAATAATCTAGACCTGGTCAAGACAAAGTGGTAGCCTGGGAAAGTGGTAGCTGGGGAAGACTGGGATATTCTGCAATGTACTCTTGAGTTTGCCAGAAAAACTAGCCCCAGAGGGATCCTGGGAATGGGATGGACCATCCCCAAGATGAGCAAAGCAGGCCTAATGAGACAAAAGCAGTTAACTGAGAAGCTACAGGGGCAGCTGGGTTTTATTTGTGGATGAAAAGTTCTTATTGATCAAAATTAATTATAAGTTCTAAAATCTTCAAAATGCATTTTAAAAAATGAACCTGAAAGTACATAAAATTCCATGTGAAACTTGTCATAAAATATTTCCAGATAGACTTCTTTGTTTCAAACAAACCACCTGCACATTCCAGGTCCTTACAGAGGGGTGTAGATGTATGTTTAGGGGGTAGTCTCCCTATGAAACAGGAATGAAATTCACCTCAATTCAAAGTTCCAGAGGGTGGTGTTTCTCTAGTATGTGGCATTTCTGTAGCATAGTGGTTAAAGTTCCAGAGGACAAGGCCCCAGATCCATGGTTTGAGCCCCCATGGAGAATGGGATCCTGTGCCAGCAAGATGGCTCAGTGGATAAAGGTGCCTTCTGCTCAAGCCTGAGTCAGTTCCTAGAGTCCAAATACAGGTGGAAGGAGACATCCAACTCCACAAACATGTCCCCTGACCTCCATACATTCATCGTGGCATTCGTATTCTGTTCTCCACAATAATAATTATATAATTAGAGACTGGAGAGATGGCTCAGCAGTTAAGAATACTGGCTGCTCTTCCAGAGGTCCCGAGTTCAATTCCCAGCAACCACATGTTAGCTCACAACTATTTATAATGGGATCTGATGACCCTCTTCTGGCTTGCAGATACACATGCAGGCAAAGTACTCATACATTAAAATGATAAAAATAAAACTTCAAAGAAAAAGGAGAAAAATAATTATATAACTACACAAACAAATAAAAAATAACAAGATCCTGCTAACTCTGAAAAAAGCCCGAATCCTTGGAAAACTTGAAAACTGGAGTTGACCCTTTGAAGACCAAATCTCTGGCATGACCCCACTATAGTTGCACCCTGGAACTAAAGCAGTATTAGCAAGCATGCTTTTTCCCGCTTCAGATCTAATGAGCCCTCTGCCTCCCAGCTTCTCAAGCCATTCATTCAGTGACAGCTGAATTTCACCGCTTTCAGTAACAGCTCAGTGAGTGCCAAGTCCTGAGTAGAAATAATCCTTTTATCTCCCAATAAAAGGGAATTACCTGTATTCTGTAACTCAGCTCTCTTTGAAGAGCTGTCTTTGGAGCTGGAGGCTTTGCATTTCCTGGAGTGGTCACATTAAAGATGATTTTCACTGATCTCATTGGGAGATCCAGAGGGCAGGGAGTTGATGATATTGTCATCCAGTCACCCTGTGGAAAGTGTTGAGATTTTCAGTTTTAAAAGATCTCAGAGCACAAATGTCATTCTCAAAAACTTTCTCAAAGACAAATTAAGTTTTCAAAGCCACACTGTTTAGGGACCAGCTGTTACCTTGGGCCAGCATGTGGGGACACTTTGAAAGGACATAATTTGATCTGCTTATCATCTTTCCCTGCCCCTGTGGAGATAATCTCACCCTGATAATTTCCTGCAGTCTATGGCAACACCATTGTATAATAGACTCTCTAGGATAGTAATACTGTCAGTTTTTTTTTTCTACAAAGACACCTCACATTCATCCCAAAGCACTATGAAAACGTAATTAATTCCAAGTGGCAAGGTGACTGGCATGTCCGCCTAGAGCTTGACACCCGGAATACATTTTTATTTTATCTACGAAATTAGGAAACCAAGGCTGGGAAGTTTAGGCAACTTTCTCAAGTTTTCCAATGCTTATTCCCTGAGTGTTTGTGTGAAGGTTCCAAGTCCTGTGAGATGGGGATCTCTGAGAGTAACAAGTGCTTCAGGCAAAGGGTCCTGTGGCCCAAGTTCCATCTCCCAATCCCCTCCTCTGTTCTCTTTAGGTCTGCTGCACTTTCGGCGCATCAACCTTAGTTTTTAATAACTACTCTTGATTGTAAAAGCAGGTGTTGATTTATTCAACCCATTGGACTTGAATTATGGCAAAGCCCCTCTCCACAGCTTCTCATAATCAGCCCTTGACTATCTACCCCTCAGATGACAGTCATACCATTAGAGTTTATGTGCAGGTTCAGATATGGCTGTGTCCAGCGATAGATTTGAGCTTTACAGAAAGCAGAGTTTTATGGGGAGATCAGTGAATTGGTCTGAAGAAGCCATTCTAGCTAAAGTGACTACATGGGTGTCACAGCAACCCTCAAGCCTTAGAGTAGCCCTCAACAAGCAGGATCCACCCATTGTAGCTCTGTGATCTAATTCCAGCTATGGCTGATTCAGGTAATCTGACCTTACCTTCTAAGAGAAGTTGGGCATCCAGGACATTTGCAATAGTTTGAAAATTGAACATCTCCTAGCAGCCATCGCTGAGCCATCTTAGTTTAAAGCTGTCCCAGAGGAGCAGGATGTAAGCAAGTCTTCAAGTCTAACTTTCAGTCCTCCTGTTGACAGAAATTATCTTGTCTGTTTTACTGACCCCTTTTTCTATTTACAGATGGCAAACTATGCAGCAGCTACAACCGAGGGCTCATCTCAAAAGCAAAAATCAAGGCCATCAAGTATAGCATAGTCATTATCCTTGGTAAGCAATGTCCCTCCTGTGTTACAAATTTGTACATCATTCTGCAGACAAGCTGGCAGTGAGCAGGCCATGCAGAGAAGGAATGGGTGCAGGCATTTCTACCTTTCATTGGAATGAAAGGTACAGGATTCACAGCATGTCAGGCTGCCAAGAGCCAATAATTGGCTCCTAATATCTCTCTCTGTGAATATAGTTGCCCCCCCCCCAAATCATGGGCTGGATCACTCAGAGAAGATCTGATTAGGATGGAACTACCTGGAGATTATAAACAAGTCAACATCGACTAAGTTGCTCCATTTAAGGCACTGTCTCCCCCACAAATAAGGAGAAGTAGATGTTCATTCTTTTTCTTCAGGATATTTAGTTTCAGAGTCAATAATACATCCCTTATAACCTCAGGCTAAATCCCTCACCTTTCTTGTCGTCTGTTCTTTTCTTCCTACACTTAGAATCCATAAAATCAGTTTGCACTGCTATCTGTCAAAGATGGTCAGGTAGATGCATAGCTTACTTCCTCTTATTTTGTTCCCCAACATTGATGCCTCCTTTGGCTTACCTGACCGGACTTTTTCCAAATAACTCTTCCCTAGTTGCAATCCAACTTGGTGATTCTTCCCTGTTCATAAATAGAGTTTTATTGAGATGTATCTTAATATAGAGAATATATATTTTTCTTTATTAAGTCTACCTTTCTTGACACAATTATAAATCTATGAGGTCAATGACTTGCCTTTAAGTTACTCATGTTATCCCAAAGCCTAAAATTAGGTTACACATTCACTGCTGAGTTAATATTTGTGTAATGAACAAACAGATGCAGATACAGGAGAAGGAAAAGAATTTGTACTGTTTTCTTTTTATTTAACTGATATACCCCAATTCTGCTTCTTTAGAAGCACCGAGAAGTCCCCAAGAAGGCCCTAGCTGTGTGTCAAATCACAAGAATAGCTCTTCTTCCCTTTCTAAAATACAAAATGCCAAATAGACCACACTCAGCTTTATTCGGTCATCAGAGTATCTGCTGACTGAGCTACAGATATATTCACAGCTCACCAAGGCTCTAAGAACTATTTCGGAGGCTTTTAGAGGAGATTAAAGATTCCTTGCCTTCACAACTGGAATCACAGATGCCCATTTTTCTGGATGATGAGAGAGGAAATGAATGCTCAAACATGAATTCTCGAGCTAGTGTATTCCCCATGTAATCATAAATTGTATTCAAGCCATATGAGGTCTTTTCAGTGTGCAGGCAGGGGTGCCCATAGGAAGGTCAGCATGCTGTCATAATGAAATGGCCTATCTATAACAAATATTTTTGTAACACCCTTTTACCACCCTAAAATGGTAAGTATCAATAATACTAACTACTACATTTTTTAAAGTCAGCATATTGTTCTAATAATTAGCTAGAGTAAATGAAATTTAAAAAAAAAAACCTTACGATAGAGCAATAGCAATAGAGCAATAGCAATTTTTATATGTAACTATATGGGCACAACTACACTGGAAAAGTAATAAAGAAATCAGACCTGTATAGCTACAAGTGACAACAGATAGAGATATTTTCTTGGAGACACACAAATATAAGCAGGTTTACTGTTGCTAACCTGATTTTCTAAGTAGGCAAAGAAACCCTGGGAAGGCTTCAAATTAAACAAAACCTGTCTACAAGGGAACTGTATTGCTGAAAGTTTCAACATTTATTAAAAATATCCAGGTGTGCCTATTAAAAATGGTTAGCTGGTTAGCTCTCTAAACTACAGTAACTATATGCAGGATCCTCTGATACATAAATGCCAAGTTGACCATTCAAAACATGTATGATACAATACTGAATCATTGAGCAAGAATCTCTAACATGTAGGAGGACTGACATTTCTGCAAAACACACACACACACACACACACACACACACACACACACACAAACGTGTAGAAGCAATGTTGTCCTTGGTGCATAAGAACTGTTCCAGTAATGGGATTAACCACCCAGAGTGCAAGAAGAAGGTAATCCTAGTTTTTTAATAACTCCCATTTAAGACATCAACAACATTTATAGGAGGAAATTACAAATTAATACTAATTTCCAAATTTGAAATCAAGTTCCTGAATTCCTATCAAATGATAATGGATCATAGTTGTCCCTACATGTAGATGTCCATGGGTGCTGGACTCCTACTCTGGGAAAAACTCAGGGGAAGAAAGAGTCAGGGAAATAAAGTTACAATGAGGTAACAAGTCAGAAAGGGAGCAGGTTTGTGTACAAGTAGCCCGTATTATCCAGAGAAATGGCAGATAAATAGGTGATAGATAGCTCTATGAGACTGATAGATAATAGACAGACAGATATGTAGGTAGGTAGATAGATAGGTAGATAGATATATAGATAGATAGATAGATAGACAGACAGACAGACAGACAGACTGACTCATGATGGCCAAGAAATCTCAAGCTCCATGGTGGAGTTGGAAACCTGGGCTAGCCACTAATGTAAATTCAAGTCCAGATCTGAACCCAAAGGTTGGAATAAAATTGACTCTTTATGTTCCTGCTGGGCCATTGTTCCACACTTGCTTCTCAAAGAAAATCAAGCAGAGAAAATGAATTGTCATAGGTCATTCTTGTTAAATTTATACCGTCAATAGACCATATAAGGCCTATTCACCAGCAGAAGGCAAAAATCTCTCTCAGAAACATCCTCAGACCTATCTAGAGTAATATTTAACCAATGTCTGGGCAACTTGGATCCTTGGCAAGATGACACATAAACTGATCATCACAATTGAGATTCCCACATTCCATTTCTATCTTTTGAGATGTTGAACTCACATACAGTGATTTGGACAAGAGTATTGGGTGAGTACTTTTAGGAGAGGTTAACTTAGACATAGAAAAGAAATGAGATCATAATGATCTCATTTATGGTCCATACTTTTAAAATACCAGCTTCACTTTTTCCTGCTTTATGTACTAGGACTAGTAATCAATGTGGTCAGATTCCATCCTATTCTGTTTGTTTCAGGGGATTTCTAAAGAGTCTTGATCATTTTTCATAAGCACTGTGGGGTGGGAGGCTCTGGCTGTACCTAACAAATCCCAGACTTTCTTCACTAAGTCCTCACCAGTGGAAATCTGAGCTCCCTTTCTAAATAGAGGGGATCTATGAAACCTCAACCCAGGAATGTTGTCTCCATACACATGTTTAAGCAAACACAATAGTCATGTAAACACACAAGACTGATCACAAAAGCACACCCAGGCCAGTATTTCTGAGAGAGCTGTAGTGCCAAAGAACTTCCTGGTTAAAATCCTAGTCTGGCCAGCCAAGAGCAATGCTTCAGGTATGGCCACGATGGTGCTAATGGCTCTCCTCTCCATAGCTTTCGTCTGCTGCTGGAGCCCATACTTCCTTTTTGACATGCTGGACAATTTCAACCTCCTTCCGGACACCAAGGAGCGCTTCTATGCCTCCGTGATCATCCAGAACCTACCAGCCCTGAACAGTGCCATCAATCCCCTCATCTACTGCATCTTCAGCAACTCCGTCTGCTTCCCCTGCAAGTAAGCTGTGTACTTGTTTATGCCCAACACACCAGCAGTTTTTTACATCTAATTCTTGTTGTCTTCCCAAATTTCATCAGTGGGCTACAGAACTCCCATTTCATAGATGAGGTACTCAAAGGTTAGGAACTCCCAGCTACTTTGATGAGTTCAAATTCAGGCTCAGGCCACAGCAGTGCTACACATGTACAAACCCTTGATTTTGATGGAAGCTTCTGCACTTGAACTGCTTCAGCATAAGTCTGCTGAGCATATGATGTGGAATGTTTTTAGTACTTCAGAGGTAAAATTTTACAAAGTTAGGCTCACAAGACTGAGTAACATCATTGAACTTATATTGATCATTAGTAGCAGAACTGAAATTTAATCCCCTGACAACTACTATCATTCTGCCCTTTTTCATCTGTTCTCATAGATATGGAGTAAACAGAGAAACTCATAGCACAGAGAATAATAATAGGATAGTTTAAGGCAGTGGTTCTCAACCTTCCTAATGCTTCTACCCTTTAGTACAATTCCTCTTGGTGTGGTGACCACCAACCATAAACTTATTCCATCACTGCTTCATAACTGTAATTTTGCTGCTATTACGAATCATAACATAAATATCTGATATGAGACTCCCAAAGGGGTCACAACCAACAGGTTGAGAAACATTGGTTTAAGTCTTCACTTACTGACAGCAGCTAAGGTTCAGGTTCTTCTTCTAGAGAGCCACGTGTGAACTTGGGCTATGAACATCAGAAAGCAGATGATGTCTCTGTCCACTGGGCTGTAATGACAAGTGGTGGAGGAAGAGGTTCAGTTGTTATTGCTTAACAGGTGTCTGTTCTTTAATGACCTTTCTTACCTGTTACCTTTTAGCATCTCTGCTGCCTTTTCATCAGGGTAAATGAGTTTTCTCTGCTTCTTTATTCTGACATTTGCTAGGGAGCAGAGATCACAAGACCCCAGAATGACATACCGGGAAAGAAGCGAGAGGCAAGAGATGCAGATTCTCTCCAAGCCAGAATTCATCTAAACCCTGAAGCAGTGTTGCTGGGCTGAGCACATTCAGCCCTCCTGGAGCTCCATTACCAGTTAGTGGATGTGCATGAATCCTGAGCCAGCCCAGCCCCACTCCTGCATCACCCAGCAGATGCATGAGGCAAACTTCCAAAGTGAGAGCATACCAGCTGCAATGCAAGCACTAGCCAACATGAACCCATCACCCCTTTATGTCAGCTAGAAAAAACACTTCTCCCAACCCTTCTTCCCACAGCTCAGCATCTGCACCACAGTAGTCCTTGGTCCGTGTGAACTGATAACACAGACAAGCAGAAAGATATGGGAAGGCTATCCCTGAGTCATCTAATTATAGTTTTGAAAGTAAATACAAGACTTAACAAAGATTAGACATCTTTCCATCAGTTTTGTATTGGAAATTTTATGGGTATAGATGAGAGATTTGCCTCTGAAGTGCCAAGCAATTCATTTGCAGAGCCTGGTACTGTATACATCCTTATGTGCAAAAGGGGTTGGCAAGAGCAAGCTCCGAAGCCTATAGAATTGTGATTTCTGAAAGGGTGAGCTTAGCTTTCTGCTGAACAAGGTCACCATGTAGGCACATTCTCACCAGCAGAAAGATCACACCAAATAATGATAGACCCTTGACCATGAATCCCACAGAGTGCAGAGATGTGGATTCTGAGACTCTTGGAGGCCATGTGAAGACTTTTTCCCTCCCTGTATTCAACATTCGGGCTGCTATGGGATCCTTTACACACACCTCAGGGACATGTATGTCCACTGTCACTCTCACAATATTCCTCAGCTGGGAAGTTAACTTTGTGGCTTTCCCAACATAATGTTCTTGAAAGTTCTTTGCTGCCTGTGTGCCATAGCCTTTGTCTATCTGACACCTCTGCAAGAAAGTGCTGGTGGGGCTTATTTTGACAGGTCTGCAATTCAGTATTTATAAGTATAACTCAAATGAAATATGACTAAATGTTTTCTAGTCAAATTTTCTTCAGATTTTGCCAGAAGTGGAAATGGCATCATTTGACTGTGTGTACATCTCCACCCACAGCCCTGTGATGCGCATGAGCATTCTATATTTAGATTCTCATACAGTCTGTGACATTGAAATCTCCTTGGCAAAATCCTCCCTTCCAGAGTTTAAATCTTTTCTTGTCCTTTTGGCTGACTACTGGATAGACTCATTAATACATTCAGTCTATTTTAACAACACCCCATTCCTCATTATTGCATCAGCTCAGAGACCGCCTGCTTAAGGTCAGTTTCATCTGACATTATGGAAAGCACCTCTTTGGGCAGAAATCAGACACTTTATCAAGTGTCTCTCAAAAAAGTCATTCCCTAAGTTTGAGGAGCCAGAATAATTTACCTTTCTGTCCACCCAACAATTTTGAAGGCTGCTTCACTCTTCCTCCAATCAGCTAAACATGAGCAGGCAGAAGCTCTGAGTGGCTTAGATGTACTTTTCAACATTTCCCTTTAAATCAAGATGTGCCACAGAGGACTCACTGGACTATTGCCGAAATAGCTGCCTGGGAAGGAGCCAATTAACAAGCAGAATCTGGCAGGTGTCCTGGCTAACAAAACAGAAGGCCCCAGCTCTTGATAGGTGCTCTCAATCTCTGTCAGGTTCTGGTCTTCAGGACATGTCACATGTCTACACCATCCATCAATTGATCCTTAAAGTTAAAAAGAGAGTGCAGTGAAGCCACTGTGCTGTCTGTGGACTGTGAGGTAGCTGTTGTGTACCTTTCATCCACAGAGCAGCCTGGAGATCAGAAGACAATGGGACAGATTCCTGAAGGAAGTTGCCATTTATGCAGAATTTGTTTTACATTGATATAGAGTCTGAAATCTTCATTGACATTGTTTTCCAAACTTGGGAGACAGTTTAAGCATGTTAGTCATCGTCTTATGACCTTGGGTGAATCATCTCCTGTCTCTGGGCGTCACTCCTCTATTTGTAACATGGGGCCAAAATAACACTGGAGCAGAGGGTGTTAAGGTCTGAAGACTGTGATGGATTAAATTAGACCTGCAGAAAATGCTGCTAGGCTTCTTCCCTTTCAAGACTAACACTTTAGTGACTCAAGGTTGAGTCATTTGCATTTTGGAGGTGTAACTTTTATCCTTACCACAAGAACTCAGAAACTAATATAACAACCCAACCAGGAAGGAGTGTGATGCTATATAGAAAATTACTATGTAAGCCACAACATTGCTATCTGTAGCCTTTGATGCTCCATGGGACTAGAAAAAGGCAACACCATGGTATATAAAATGAAAGTGTCCACTTTCTACACTAAGATGTTAAGAATGTGTGTATACATTATTGCACAGCTTCAGGGACAGGTAAAGGTTTAGGTTAACAGAGTAGCTGTCTTTAATATATTCAGTCACATTACAGAAAATGTCTCTGCTTTTACTGAAATAAATTCAATGTGGTTAAAGGGTCTCCTCTTTCAGGGCATATTTGCACATTTCAACACAGTATAATTAAGGTTTAATTTTATCAAGAAATTAAAGGCTCCCACAGGCCACCCTGCCCCTTCCCCAATGCCCTAGTACCTTGTGAATGACTTTCCACCGTGATAATAATGAGAATAAAGCACCTTTGAACTAGTCTAACAGATATCTCAGGATTTCTCCCCAGTCTCATTCCAACAACTCTGCATAGAAACATTCAGCAATGACCTTGTCTCTTCCTTCTACATTCACAGTATGGATTTAAAATGGATGTAGGCCTCCATTTGATGAGAAAACAAGAATATGAAAAATATTTTTGAGTCAGAAAATAAACTAATTCTAGTCTTGTGTTTTAGTTGACATTTCAAGCAAACCACAGACCTGCTGCTGACAGCCTGAGCCTGGTTTTGTATATTGTTTTGTTTTGTTCCAGTCATCATTTGAGTATAGCTCATTGTGTATGCAGCTCTATCAACATTCTTTATACCCTGGCAACCTCCATTCCCGTAAAAGGTGATGGCCTTACCAAGCTGCCAACCTTCTTGCTTGGAGAAATATGAAACAGCTATGCCTCATTTAGGAATTGATTATCCACAATAGGGCTGGAACAGTTAACGTTTTCAACATGCAATTCCATCCGTACAGAATGTAAGTCTTCTCAGAGATTGCTAAAAAAAAAAAAAAAAAGGTCACATGGGTAACCAAAAGTTCCTAACACCATTGCTTATGAACCTAAAGGTGATTAAATACAGTGAAAGTATTTCAAGCTCCTTGAATTATTTTAAATAAGCATAGAATGTAGATTTGGATTACACATTGATATATCAAGAGTATGCATAAAGCTTTCAGGATGACTGCTAAAAGAACAGAAGCAATATATAACTTCTACATTAAAAAAGGATAAAGCTTGACTTAGTGGCAGACCCCTGCAAGCCCAGCACTTGGAAGATAGAGGCATGAGAATCAGGATTAAAAACCATTTTCATCTATATAGAGCGGGAGGCCATCCCTGTCTGAAGGAGAGAAAGGGTGCAGAAAGAGAAAATCCTTTTCCTCTCCCTATTCACCATCCCACCCCACCCCAGCATCTCTTCAGCCTTGGGTAGCCAATATTTTCTTTGTGAAAATGTATTCAAGTGATATAAAGAGACATTTGCTTTTCTGTACCTGGCTCATTTCACTTAAGTTGGTGTTTTGTAGGTTCCCTGTGTTTCTTCTAAGTTCAGGATTGCATTCTCTTTACTCTAGAGTGCAGAAAACCATAACTTCTTTATACATCTCCATGTCAAGGAACACATTGTTTGATTACACATCTTGGTTGTAATGAATACAGGAATTATAAGAAGATTATAGAACAGGTAGGACAGATAGAAAGGAAAGAGTAAGATGATGGATTTTCGTCCAAATTTAACAACTACAGGAAATGAAAATAAATTCTCTGTTTGGTAATAAAAAAGTCATGTCAGGTATTTTAAATGTACAATTATCTGTTCCTTATAAAATAGCAATGATGATGATAATAATAATGATGATGATGAAATGCCCAAAGCATAAGGATTCAACAAATTTGAAAATAAAACAATGAACCCAGAGAGGCCATGGAAACATTAACTAAAAGAAAGGTACTATACTCCACAGGCAAAGATGAATCAAACATCAAGGCTAACAGTAGGCAGAGCTAAACAGAGACAACTCATAATGGTAAGTGTTTTAGTTTAATTAGATGGAAAATAATTCTAAATTTCTCTGCATTTAAAAAACATAGCCTCAGGATGTATGCTTTGAAGGAGTGTCAGAAATATGAGAAAATGGAATACAAAATGCACTATTATAATGAAAATTTTTATCTCACTTAATTCCAATAATTGCAAGCAGGCAAAATTCAAGAATAGGCTGGACAAACCATCTCCCCGTTCCACTTCCCTGTGGACCACATGCCCTGTGCCTGCCTTTAGACTCTCCTTCTACCCTTTCCCCTTCAGGAAGGGACCACAGACTAATATCACTAACCTGAGCTCCATTTTTGGCTGGAACCCTAGAGTCTCTCCCTCTAACCACACCCATCTCATGGACTGAGGGTCATTATTCTCCAAGCAGAAATGCTAGATTCATACCACTAACTCCATTCATCTCTTCAGCCAGTCCTCCACTCACCCTCTCTAGTTCAGGACCCCAAACTCACACTGTCTACCCAACCTACTCTTGAAACTTGCCTAAGTACCACATGTTCACTACCTGGCAGTTCCTCAGGAAAATGGGAGTCAGTCTACCACAGGACCCAGCAATTCCCCTATTCGACATACACCCAAATGATCCACATCCATGCAACAAAGACATCTGTTCAACTGTGTACATAGCAGCATTATTTGTAATAGCAAGAACCTGAAGGCAACCTAGATGCCCCTCAACTGAAGTATGGATAAAAAAGATGTGGCACATTTACACAATGGAAAACTACTCTACGAAAAAACAAACAAACAAACAAAAAACAATGGAACCTTGAAATCCACAGGCAAGTGGATGGAACTAGAAGAAACCATCCTGAATGAGGTAACCCAGTCTCAAAAAGAGGAGCATGGTATGTACTCGCTCATATATGGATTTTAGACATAGATTAAAGGATCACCAGCCTATAATTGACACCACCAGAGAAAGTAGGATATAAGGAAGATTTTAAGGGATTCATATAAGTCCCTCACAGAAGGGGGAAGGTACAAGTTTTCCAGCGTATATGGGGAGTGTGGGGTGGGCAGTGAGTGGAGAGGGAACTAGGAGAAA